TGGAGTACACCATCTTCTTCTTCTTTCTTACTTCTTCTTCTTCTTCTTTCCCTCTCTCTCCTCTCAAGTTCATTCATTTCTTTCTGCAATTGGATGGCATTGTACTTTCAAATGAATGTATACTTCGAAATTGGCTAGGATCCAAACATTGGTATCGGAGCGGATTCGACTTGCTGGTAGAGTTGACTTTGCTGCCACACAAATGGTTAACAGGTACCCCCACTTTTCACCCCTATTGCACTCTACAGATTGGTGTGAAGAATGGCTAAAATGACCCTTTGTTTTTTTTATAAATGGAGGTGAAAAATGGGGGGTCGGTTAACCTTCTGTCCCCACCTTGTGTCTCGCCACCACAAACATGCAGTCAAGCAACCTGGCCGGGTCTACTGTCGACCCTACACGGCCCTGCCAGTAGACCCGGCCAGGTTGCTTGACTGCATGTTTGTGGTTCGACACATGATGCAATTTGAGAGAGGCGACAGTGAAGGGCACCTACAACTTGAATCCTAGCTTTCCAACCCGGGCGCACGGGGTACCCCACGGCACCCGGAATGATGCTCGTGGCGCTCGGCCGGGCGACCCCCCCTGTCGGCCTCCCGGACCTGCTCAGCGCCAAGGCCAAACAGGCCTCAAAAAAAAAAAATCGGGCCGCCGTTGGTTCGCCCGGATGCTAAACAAAATTTTGTGGTCGGTCGTTTTTTTTTCAGGGCCGGTAAGGCCACGTTTCACTCTTTTTTTTTTTTTTGCAACCTAGACAATTGATCGTCCCAGATCGACGGTGCAGGGCAGCTCCAGGTTTCAAATTTGAAACCTGACCACCCCGCTCACGCCTATGGTCCGCCATGCCAGTCGCGCCCTTCTCACCCCGCCCTTCCCGCCCCACGAGATCACATGTGGCAGTCGTCATCACGCTGCAGCCGCCATCTTCAACTCTGTTGTGTAACCTCCTCCGCATGCCGTCGTCACGTCTGGTGCGCCATTGTTACCTCCACCATTGGAGACCGTTGTGCCACGCACGAACGGCGCGAAGGTGAGCTTTTTTTTATTTTTCTTCTATTATTCTTCTTTAGTCTTTCTTCTTCTTCTTCTTCTCCTTTCTTTTCGTCTTCATTTCTAGTAGCTTTCAACTTCTTAGTAGTCCCTGCTTCTCTTCTCAAGTTCCTATTCTTTTTCTTTGTTTCATCTTGTTGTTCCTTGTTTCTTTTTCTTCTTGTTCTTCCGCGTTGGCATCTATAGTGTAAACTTCTCTTTTCCTGGGTGCACTTTGTACCCCGCTACTAGTCGCTTAGCGCAGTTACTCTCTGCACTCATTCGCCTCCTCCCTCCTTCAAGTTGCATCTCCATCGCCACCCTCCTCCCAGTCTTTCGATCGTTTCTCTCCTTCCCCCCTGTCCATCGCCTCCCTCCTCCCTCCCTCTCCATCGCCTCCTTTCTCCATACTCCGCCATACCCTGCATCCTCCCTCCTGCTTCCATCTTCATCGCCTCCCTCCTCCCTCCTTGCATCTCCATCGCCACCCTCCTCCCTGTCTTTCGATCGTTTCTCTCCTCCCCCCCTGTCCATCTCCTCCCTCCTCCGCCATACCCTGCGTCCTCCTTCCTGCTTCCATCTCCATCGCCTCCCTCCTCCCTCCCTCTCCATCGCCCATACCCTGCCTCCTCCCTCCTGCCTCCTCCCTCCTGCTTCCATCTCCATCGCCTCCCTCCTCCCTCCCTCTCCATCGCCTTCCTCCTCCCAATTCTTCCATACCCTGCCTCCTCCCTCC